TGTACATCATGATATCTTTGCACAAAGGACAGCCCTCCATTGGCCTACACATGAATCTCCCCATTTGTATCCAACTATTTATGCAGTAAAAACAGATATAAGGACCTGCTGTGGCCAATGAAGTTGTACTTCCTCACCTCACACATATGTACAAAAATTAGACGATACAGAGACACCTAAGTGTAGGAAACAAATTGATAAAACTCTCAGAAGAAAGCTTAAGGACAAAATATCATGGCCTCAGATTTGGCTATTCATTCTTGGAAATGACACAAAAATATAATCAACAGAAGAAAAAAAATTAAAACCTTTTACACATCCAAAGACATTATCAAGACAACCTGATAATGAGCAAAAATATTTACAGGTCATTTAAGGTTTTAGTATCCAGAGACAGAAAAAGAAATGCTTACATAACGAATACCAGAAAGCTGTCTTATCTGAAGAGGTCAGAGTTAAGTGGATGGGAGGTTGATGAAGAGAGAGGCAAGGTGGGTGAATATAGTCCTAATACTTAATACATATATGTGAAAATAGACCCGGATAACCTGAGGGATGGTGGTGTTGAGAGAGATGTAGGGGAAAGAGTAATAGAGGGGATGTCACTGATCAAGGTGCATTGTACACATAAATTGATATGCTAAACTGAAACCCCTTTATGCAATTAGTTAAATATTATAAAAATTAAAATATTAAAAATATATTAAAATATTTTTCAAAATGATTACACTTCAATGACAACCCAATGGAAAAGGGACAAAGGACTTGTATTCAAATGGATTTATGTCTAAAGAAGATATATAAATGGTCAATAAGAATATCAAGAAAGGACTGGGAAGGCAGCTCAGAGGTACAGTGCTTGCCGTGCATGCATGTGGCCATGGGTTTGATACCTCAGCACCACATAAGCAGAAAAAGCCCGACCAAAAAAAAGAAAGAAAGAAAGAATATCAAGAGATGCTCAATGTCATTAATCACTAAGGAAATGCAAATCCAAATTACAACGAAATAACTGCTTCATACTCTCTAGAATGACAATGATAATGATAGTACTAATTTTATAGTGGAAAACAGCAAATGTTGGTGAGGATGTAGAAAAATTGAAACCCTTCTCCATTTGCTAGTGTGAATGTAAAAAGCTGTAGTCATTTTGGAAAGCCGATGGTTAAACATAGGATATGTTTATGACCAAGTAATTCCACTCTTAACTATATATCAAAAAAATTGGAAGTGTATGTTGAAACAAAATAAATGTCATGAAGTGCTTGATGGAAAATTAATGACAAAAATCATAGCAGCATTGTTCATAATAGCTAAGTGTAGAAACAACCTAAATATTATTAGCGAATGAATCAGTTAACAAAATATGACTCTACACAATGGCTGCTTATTCAGCCATGGAAAGGAATGAGGTATCGATACATGCTAGAATATTAACATGGTGTTAACTGAAAGAAGCCAGATGCAATAAGAAGCCACATATTGTATAATGATTCCATTTGTACAAAATGTCCATCATCAGCAAATCCACAGGGATAGGCGGTAGATAAATTATTGCTGTGGTAGGGGAGGGGCAAACAGAAAGTGATGGTTTAATGGGTACACGACTTTCTTTAGGAGGTGAGGAAATGTTCTGGAGCTACATAATGATGGTGGTTGTATACTTCCGTGAATATGACAAAAAGCACTGCATTCTACACTTTAAAATGCTGGATTTTCTAGTACAATAAAATGGTGTTTGGTGCTCTTTGGGCCGTAACTTAGACACACTTAAATAAGGCTTATAATGAATTTTTCTTAACATGGACCACACTCAGCAAAGCAAGAGATAAAAATTTCCATGTAATATGGCATCACAGAAATGAGCAACATTTGGGCACAGAAAAACAAGTCAGAGGAAATAGACCAAAATATTAATGGTTGTTGTTATGGGGTGCCAGAAATTTTGGGCTAATTTTTCCCATCTTTTTACTTCCTAAAGCTCTTTTTAAAAAAACATAGTGGTTAGACAAAGGGCAAGAGGGGAAACAGTGCAACAACAATCTTATAAAACAATATGTTGGAAATGATCTGTCCAACTTGGTGGGGGCTTGGGGGGACAGGAAGTAGGAGGGAGAGGTAACAAGTTTGACAAGAAATGTTCTTATTCCCTTATATAACTGTAACCCCTCTGTACATCTCCTTGACAATAAAAAGGAGTCTCACTTTTACAATGAAACAAAACACTTTTTTAAAAGTGGGAAAACCATAAGTGGGATTTCAGGTAAACCAAAACAACAGATAGGGGTGAAGAGACACAGAAGAGCCAAAACCAAAAGAGAACACACTTCAGGAGAGCAGTCATATAATTTGGACTTGAAAATTGTCAGGGAACAGATGGCAGCATTCAAGCAGACATCTGCAATGGATAGCAAAATTGTATGCAAAGACACAAGTGGCCTTTGAAGCAGGCCCTTGAGAAGCCTGGCTGAGAAGGAGGCTTGCCTGGCCAAACAGAAGAGCCAAACCTCTCTTGGCCTCATCACACCAGGCCTCCTTGGAGCTCTGGTGGAGGTCAGGAGGCTGCAGGAGGGCTTAGTGCAGATGTATTTGTGTGTGTGTGTGTGTGTGTGTGTGTGTGTGTGTGTGTGATGTATGAAAGAGGCTGGGGGCATCATACCTGATCTGTATGTGGTGATTCACAGATGAAAAACATTCTCACATAGATAACCTCTGGGCTGTTACTGCATCCTCTTTTATAATGTCTCTAAGAAGCAGGCAATTATAATTCCCATGTAATATGGCGGAATGAGGCACAAAGAAGTGAGGCACCTTTATTGTTTTTTTAAAAATTTTTTTCTTTTCCTTTTCTATTGTCAAGGTGATGTACAGAGGGGTTACAGTTACATAATTAAGGTAATAAGTACATTTAGGCACCTTTATTTGCTTAACACTTACAGAGTGCTCACTATCTGCTAAACTGAGAAAGCCACATGCATTCATTGTCTATAGTCACACAGCTGGTAAGACATACAATTGGAACACCAGTGTGTCTTTTCAGATTATGACACTGCTCTTCTGTTCATGTCTAAGTAGGAGTCGCCTGTCTACAGAATTTCAAGTAAAGCAGCAAGTGGTCCTGTCTGTGTGTTTGCCTATTTACCCACCCATTTATCTAGTTTTATGATTATAAATGTAACACCTAATTGCTTTCAAAATGCAGAGATCATTGAAATAAGCATATCGAAAAGTAAAAACCTCTTGAATGTCAAACCTAAAGATAATCATTCTTTGACATTTTTCTATGTATATACACACATATTTTTCATTTAATATTTATGTTTTATTTGGTTATAATTACATTTAGTTATATTTTTATTTAATAATACAATACTAATATATGTCCCTAACCCCCATTTTACATAAAAGTAAGCCCTGAAAAATCTCTTCATGACTATCTAGTTCTTGTCTGCTCTAATACCCCATGGTATAAAGTAGTTATTGTCCTAACTAGACACTTCATGTAGACACACTGGGTTTTCAGTTTATCTTGTGCTATAATAAATATTCTTGGACTGGCATCTTTGTATATAGCTATCTGAATATTACTATCTACAGAATATGGTTATTGCCTGTTGGTCTCTACCGTACTGTTACTGTAGTCACTGTTTGTGACTAGTGGTATCAACATTACAGCTCTAAATTAGCATGTGTGGGGAGCTTACAATTCCATTCTCCCACAACACTTTTAGGTTTGTTTTGGGATGCACTGGGACGGTTCCTAGGTTGAGGTTAGTTTCTCCTCAGATATTTGCCTTTTGGCTTGGAGCTGTGAGATTGGGAGTGGTAAAGGTCTTTTCCTATAATGTAGGAGTCATGCCTGCCACAAAGGTATACTAGTGGGAAAACCCTTCAGCAATATTTGAGAGGACTTTGTGTACACCCTAATCTTCTAATACTCTTATAAGCAGGTAGGGGTGATCTGGCATATACTTGAATATGAATGATGGCTCCTTTTATCAGGCAAACATGCAACAGTATAGACATGAATCTCATTCTGCTGAAGCAGCAGGTTTAGTTACTTGCTCAAAGTTGGCCAGCTCACAAGTGTCAGAGCTGCAATTTCACCCTATTGTCTGACTCCAGATCCAATGGTAAATGGAACCATGACCATCCAGGGTGTGTGTGGGGGGGGTGCTTAATGCTGGTACAGCCCTTAGTGAGGATAGGAGGAGGAGGGTTTAAGATGTGCTCAGGACGCTGGGAAGGTGGCTCAGTGGTAGAGTGTTTGCCTTGCATGCATGAGGCCTTGGGTTCGATTCCTCAGCACCACATAAGCAGAAAAAGCTGGAAGTGGCGCTGTGGCTCAAGTGATAGAGTGCTAGTCTTGAGTTGAAGAGCTAAGGAACAGTGCCTAGGCCCAGAGTTCAGGCCCCACAACTGACAAAAAAAAAAAAAAAAGATGTGCAGCGCTCTGGAGTTCTAGTAATGCCTACCTGGTCATCCTTCAGGAATCTGTCATTCTCTTTCAATGAGGAGCAGTCTCCAGAAACAGAATAAATCTAGTAATTTGGCCCAGGAAAACGCATCAGAGAAACAAATTGCCGCTGCATCATGAATATAATAAGGCAGTTAGGTTGGCGGAAATAATTCTTTTCTGATTATATGCATAAGAATTATGTGTGGCAAATTTGAAGTCCAGGCCTTTCCTTGGCCTCCCCCTCCCCACTAGCCATATATTTCTAAATCTCTCTCCAAACTGTCCAGCTGGTGTGTACTCGGTGATCACTAATAGAACTTCTCATATTAGTACAGGCAAAATACAATTAGGAAAAAAAACCCTCTTCTGCCAAAATAATAGTATGCCAATGTCAAAAAGAGATGCTTTTTGTCTTTCTACCATTTCCTTATTTGTATTAGCTTTGACTTCATAATTATATTGGGCCATTTGACTATAGTGCCAAAGATGATATGTTTCCTTAAAGTGAAATTTCATTTGTTCTCCTTCCCTATTTGTACAGATCCACTTTCCCTAAAAGGGAAGAGGCTGGATTTTTATGGAAGAAGTGACAGGTATGTAAGCCTGACCAACAGCATTCCTGAGCTCAGCCGATTCACAGCATGCATCGATTTAGTCTCCATGGCAGACCGCTCCACGTATTGGATGGCCTTCTCCTATATTGCTAAGAACACCCTCCTGGGCAGAGAAGACATACATCTCGGACTTGCAGGGAACCAGAAGCAGCTAATTCTATACAGCTTGGGCAAGGCCTTTTATATCAGTCACCACCTGACTCCATTTCACTGGCATACAATATGCTTGATATGGGATGGTGTGAAGGGCAAATTAGAACTCTTTGTGGATAAAGAAAGAATATTGATAATCATGGATCAGCCTCACAGCCTGACAGCTAATGGGACGCTGGTTTTAGGACACCTTCCTAAGAATGGAAAGGGCCAGGTTAAAAGTGTGGCACCTCACTTTACTGGCAGCTTGTACTACTTTCAACTCTGGGATCGTATCCTGGAACATGAGGAGTTTACAAGGTGTTTAGATGGAAATATAGTTAGTTGGGAAGAAGATATTTGGCTCGTCCACAAGATCATCCCAACATTTGACAGGAGACTGCGCTGCTGTGAGTAACATGGATTTTTTTTTCTCTAGTTAGCAAGGGTAGCATCATGAGATTGCTCCCTCTGCTCACTATGCTAAATCACTGCTGCTCAGTCCTCTTATAAGCAGCCCACAAGGTTACCAATACTTTTGCATCTACCTCTTTAATATAAAGTAAATTTGGTTTGTTTTGCTCTTTCATTTTAAAACTGTTTCAAAACTTATAGACAAATTGCAAAAATAACAGAACTTAGAGATTCTTTCCCCAGATTCATCAATGGTTAACTCTTTCCGTTCATGTACTGTATCATTCTCCCTATCTTAATGTCTCCCTTGTGTTTTTTCCTCCTGGTCCTCTCCTCCAACTCTTCCTTATCCTTCTCCTCCTTCCCTCCCTCCCTCCCTCCCTCACACACACACACACACACACACACACACACACACTCTCTCTCTCTCTCTCTCTCTCTCTCTCTCTCTCTCTCCTTATTCATTTCTAAATCATCTAAGACTAAGGAGCAGGCATTGCTTTTTACCCCACTGTCTCAATGTCTGTACCCTGAGAGTAAGGAAATCTCATAACTTTATTACAATGATCACAATCAGAAATTTTATAACTATGCAACAGTAATACATCATTCATAGTTCATGTCCAAATTTAGTCAATTGTCCTATAAATTTCCTTTATAGCTACTTTTTGCTTGGCTTAAGATCTCAGTCAGAATCATGCATTGCATTTAGTTACCATGTCTCTTTAGTCTCTGATTTGGAACAGACCCTCAATTGTTCCTTGTCTTTAAGAGGAGCATCAATTTCTAGCTTGCAGTCCATTCTATTTGTAGAATGTCCCTGAATTTGGTTTTGCCTAATATTTCTTCTCGGTTAGGTTTAGGTTATGTATTTTTGGTAAGTATACCATAAAAGTGATGTTGTATGCTCAGGAAATACATGGTGCAGATTTGACCCATTAGTTGTGGTGGTAACTTCGTTCTCTTGATTCTGATGCCGGCCAGATTTTCTCCATCATGATGTTATTACTTTGTTTCCTTTGAAATTATGAATTAATTTCTGGGGAGATATTCTCTTCTTCTGAAACTTTCACCAACAGTTTCTAATATATTGATGATTCTTGCCTGGATTACTACCATAATGGTGGTAAAAATGTATGGAGTTTAAAAGTTTTTTTCTTTAATTTTCTACAATTACTAATTGTTTCCTAATGTAAGGAAGGGATTTTTCTTTTTCAAAATTTACTTATTCATTCATTTTTGTTTTTATTTATATGATTACGAATTCAATGACTCTGTTTTAGTCATTGAGTTACAATCTGTTCCTGTTGTTTATGGTAAAATTGGCTCCGATTTGTCCAGTGGGAGCCTTTCAATGTGGTTCTTGTGTCTTTTTGACACACTTTACTATCCTTTGAGTGTTTCCTTACATTTTGGCACAACAAGATTCATCTTGTACATTTTTTTTTCTTTTCTTTTTTTTTTGGGGGGGGTTCAGTCGTGGGGCCTGAACTCTGGGCCTGGGCGCTGTCCCTCAGCTCTTCAGCTCAAGGCTAGCGCTCTGCCACTTGAGCCTCAGCCCCACTTCTGGCTTTTTCTGCTTATGTGGTGCTGAGGAATCGAACCCAGGGCCTCAGGCATGCAAGGCAAGCGCTCTACCACTGAGCCACCTTCCCAGTCCCTCATCTTGTACTTTTTCTGTTCAGCCTAAAATTCAGTCACTTTACCAAGGAGCCTTGGTACCTTTTCATGGCATATGACATTTATAAAGCAATTCACATTTTTTTTGTGAGTAAAATGATGCTATTGAAAATCTGCTTGGAATCAAGTTTAGTAACTAAATCTGACTTACTTGAATTATATATATATATATATATATATATATATATATGTTTCTCTTTATTAGTGTTTTTTTTGTTTGTTTTTTGGGTGACACTGGAGCTCGAACTCTGGACTTGGGTCCCATCCCTGAGCTCTGTTTTGCTCCAGGCTAATGCTCTACCACTTGAGTCACAGATCTATTTTTGGTTTTCTGATGGTTCAGTGGAGATGGGCTTTCCAGGCTGCCCTAAAACCATGATCCTCAGATCTCAGCCTCCTGAGTACCTAGGATTACAGGTGTGAGCCACCAGCTCCAGGCTCTCCTTTCTAGTTTTCAGAAAGAAATATAGGACTGTTTTCTTTCTACAGCCTCCATCTCCCCTCAGCTCCATTGCTATCATCAGGGTCCTGAAGAATGAATAATCAGTGATAACAGTATCAACATGAAATTTTTCTGGAGTATTATTTACTACTCTTATGGTTCTAAATTAAGCTCGGTGCTGGTAGCTCTTGCCTGTAATTCTACCTACTCAGGAGATAGAGATCTGGAGGATCACAGTTAAAAGGCACCCTTCACAGAAAAAGCCATAAGATTCCATCTCCAAAGCACTCAGCACAAAAACCAGAACTGGTATTGTGGCTCAACTGGCAGCAAACCAGCCAACCAAGCACTAGCCTCTGCTGGAACTGCACCAAAAAAAAACCCTCTTCTAATCAAATAAGCAGAGGAGCTAGGTGTTGAGCAAAGATGTATCTGGTTGCAAAACTCATGTTTATTTAACCCCACAGCTTGCAAATTAACCCAAGGGAGTCTGTGACCCCTAGAAAGTTATGAGGCCTTAGAAACTTCAATTGAAGAGAATTTCTGGCCTCCAGCTAGAATCACTGTTGGCCTTACCACTGACTGACCTGGAACACCATAGAATTTCTCCGCCTTCTGTCTTGGCCATATGACATCTAGGAAAAGGGTGACAATACATGAATAAATATGAGTGATTACAAAACATCTAGCTTTTAGCTTTTGCCTAATAAATTGGTATTTATGGTCCATAGAAGGATTATGATCCTCAAAAATAAATTTTAATGAGCACATTGCTAGGCTTCAAATCTCAATAAATCTATTCACTCATAAATTATATATGTGTATATTTATATTCATGAGAAGAAAGCTTTGGGGGAACATTTGCTAAAAGCCATGAGCCCTACCTAGGTTTAATAAACAAGTATTCACTGTAGTTGGAGACATTACAGGAATATTTAAGCAGCACAGAGATAATGTGGGTAAAGGTACTTGTTAGGAATTTTTTGGGGAAGGGGGCTAAAGCTTTTCTTTATTTTAATATATTACAAACATGACAAATGGCTGCAAATAAAATAGATTTTAAAATATAAAACACATGAAGTAAAAAGTAAAACCCCCTCCCTCTATTCTCCCCACAGAGTTGTCTATTTTAAAGAATTTTTTCCTATGGGTTTACAAGTGTGCATGAATATATGCATATATGTGCATGGGTATGTATGGCTTTAAAACCAGAAGTGAAATTTACATACATGCATATTGTCCTGCAACTTTATTCATTTTAACAGCATTATCATAGAAACATAAGTACATTTAAATCTGTTTCTAAGGCTGTCCATATTTCCTTGCATTGATGCAACATTATTTATTGATTTGTTTATTTACTATCACTATTTCGCAGGACACATTCCTGAGAACAAATTTTTCAGAAAGAGCAGATAAGCTGTTGCAATCTAATTTGTCATTTTAACTTGTTATTTTATTCATTTAGCTATTCATTAAAATTAATGTGCCTCTGCAAGTAAAATTAATAGATACATGTAATAAAAATACATAAATGTAAATTCAAGGTAATAATCTTTTTATTTCAATCCTTTATCCTAAATACCTTTCCCCAAAGTAATGTTTCTGAACAGTTTTTAGGAATACTTGCAGAATATCTGTCTGTCTGTCTGTCTTTCTGCCTGTATGGGCTACATGAAAATATTTTGGATTTTTTTCATGTTTGCAGTAATTATTAAGTTTTTTGCACTTGTGATTTTAAATTTGATAATACATTTTGGAGCTATTTCTATATCAGAAATTATCAAGCTATCTTACTTTTTTTTTGAGTTGGGCTACTACTTAAGGGTACAGTAGACTAAATGTATCCTATGAATAACTCCATTTGAAGGAGTTTTTATATGATTTTTTATTGTGAAAATACTGTAGAGGAGTTACAATTACATGGGCAAGATAATAAGTACGTTTCTTATCAAGGATTGTTGCCTCCTCCTTTGTTTCCCCTTCCTATCCCTTCCCATCCCCCCCCCCAAAGTTATAAAATTCGTTTTTCAACATAACGTCTTGTACATCTCATTGTTGCAGTGGGTCCACCTGTATCCCTATTTAAAAGATTTGTTTTTTCCCTTCCCTTCCACAAATCATACCAACATCAAATACAGTGAAAGCAGGGGTTATACTGTGGGGGAGGGACATACAAAGCAACAAAGAAATCATCTTATAAATATGTTAGAAACA